AGCAAGTTTAATAACATGCTTGCACTGTGTTTCCTTGTAACTTGTCTCTGGTGTCTATAAATGGATACCAGGAGACAAAAGGCCAGGAAAGAGTATTGTGCATGTGTTTGGAGCCTGCTTGTGGTATTGCGTGTGTGTAGAGTGAGCTGGTCGTGGTGTGGTATTGTGTAATAAGGTTGGTTTTAGTCGTGTTGTGTTTGTGGTGTAATGTGATGCATATGTGGCTATGGGCTGTAGAGAATGTGTGTATTGGGGATATAGCAAGTGTGTGCATACAGGCTATAGTGTGTGTGTGTTTAGGGGTGTAGTATGTGTTTGCTTACAAGGAATCTAGTGTGTGTGTATAGGGGATCCAGAGTGTGTATGTTAAAGGACCACTATAGTGCCAGGAAAGCATACTCGTTTTCCTGGCACTATAGTGCCCTGAGGGTGCCCCCACCCTCAGGGACCCCCTCCCGCCCGGCTCTGGAAAGGGGTTAAAACTTACCCTTTTCCAGTGCCGGGCGGGGAGCTCTCCTCCTCCGATCCGCCCCGTCGGCTGAATGCGCACGTGCGGCAAGAGATGCGCGCGCATTCAGCCGGTCGCATAGGAAAGCATTTATAATGCTTTCCTATGAACGCTTGCGTGCTCTCACTGTGATTTTCACAGTGAAAAGCGCGCAAGCACCTCTAGCGGCTGTCAATGAGACAGCTGCTAGAGGCTTTGGGGGAAGGCTTAACCCATGATAAACATAGCAGTTTCTCTGAAAAACTGCTATGTTTATAAAACAATGGGTTAACCCTAGAAGGACCTGGCACCAAGACCACTTCATTAAGCTGAAGTGGTCTGGGTGGCTAGAGTGGTCCTTTAAGAGTGTAGTGTGTGTGTGTGTGTGTGTGTGTATATATTTGGAAGTATTGTGTATGTGTGTGGTGCAGTGTGTTGGGGGGGTTCTGTGTGTATGTGAGGGGTGCAGTATGTGTGTGTGTGTGGGGGGTGCAGTATGTGTGTGTGTGAGAGTGCGGTGTGTGTGTGAGAGTGCCGTGTGTGTGATGTGTGTGAGAGTACCGTGTGTGTGTGAGAGTGCCGTGTGTGAGTGATGGGTGTGAGAGTGCTGTGTGTGAGTGATGGATGTGAGAATGCTGTGTGAGATGGGTGTGAGAGTGCTGTGTGTGAGAGAGTGCTGTGTGTGAGAGAGTGCTGTGAGTGTGATGGGTGTGAGAGAGTGCTGTGAGTGTGATGGGTGAGAGAGTGCTGTGAGTGTGATGGGTGTGAGAGTGCTGTGAGAGAGTGCTGTGAGTGTGATGGGTGAGAGAGTGCTGTGAGTGTGATGGGTGTGAGAGAGTGCTGTGAGTGTGATGGGTGAGAGAGTGCTGTGAGTGTGATGGGTGTGAGAGTGCTGTGTGAGAGAGTGATGGGTGTGTGTGAGAGTGCTGTGTGAGAGAGTGCTGTGTGAGAGAGTGCTCTGTGAGAGTGCTGTGTGAGAGTGTGCTCTGTGAGAGTGCTCTGTGAGAGTGCTGTGAGTGTGATGGGTGTGAGAGAGTGCTGTGTGTGTGTGAGAGTGCTGTGTGAGAGAGTGCTCTGTGAGAGTGCTGTGAGTGTGAGAGTGCTGTGAGTGTGATGAGAGTGCTGTGTGTGATGGGTGTGTGAGTGCTGTATAAATGTTATTGTGTGTGTGTAGGGGGGGTAAATAATAAAAAAAAAAAACAGGCATTATGTCCCCCCCTCCCTTCTTACCTTTAGCCTTGGAGGGGGGGGGGTGGCATGCTGGTGACTGGGAGGCCGGGAGGCAGTGTTCCCTGGTGGTCCTCGTGGGTGAGTGAACTCTAGCCTGTGAGGCTAGAGTTCACTCTAGCGAGATCCGGTCGTTGCCATAGCAACGCGCTGGATCTCGCGAGAGGAACCCGGCGGAGCCGCAAGTTAGAGCTCGGCCGGGTCCTCTCTCCAGCCTGGCTGGCTGCCTGTCTCCCTCCCCGCCGGCGGCCGCATGTGGGCCGGTGAGGGAGAGCTTTGATCTCCCCACCGGCCCGTCGTGGCAAACAGCGGGGCCGGCGCTCGGATAGTGCCGGCCCTGCATAGACCGGCAGGGGAGATCCTGGGACCTCCCCTGCCGGCCTCGGCCCCACCGGGCATTTGCCCGGTGTGCCCGATGGCCAGTCCGGGCCTGCTTCAGACGAATTCTCCTTGCAATACTCCACTACTGACAACGCCATCAGTGCCATGGCTCAGCAAGATTGACATTGTAAATGCATTTAAACTGCCCCCATTCACCTATCATTTTGGCATCTGCATGGCATTAAGCGGCAAGGTTTGTATTATTTTTTTTCCAGGCTCAAATTTGGTTCCAAAAGCAGCCTGAAAATCTTCAACATCTTTGCTGAAACCTTATGCTGGTTGCTGCTTAATGTGTGCAGATGCAGTTATTCACTACCTTGACGATTTCCTCACTATAGAAGGTAACACTCACAGAAACTATCCACCTTTAGATTCTTTAGGTATCCCAGTTTCCCCTAAAAAGACAGAAGGACCTGACACTTTTATCGATTTCCTAGGTATCCAATTTGGTGGCAATGCAATCCAGTCTTACTGGTGACAAGACTCGGCACATACTGGCAAGTATCGATATGTACTTGCAGTTGGGTTCATGCAACCGCAAGGAATTACAGTCTCTGCTTGTTTTACTCAATCATCCCACAAGGTACAACTTTCATCTCCCGACTTCTCTGTCTATTCCTAAGCCTCACACTCTGATGATAGCAGCAATATCACCCTAGACCCCCACGCAATCTTAGACTTATTAATGTGGCTTAAAATCCTTACCACATGGAATGGGAACACCATGTTTATTCCACCAATCTCTGAAAAATCTCCTACCATCTGGACTGATGCAGCAGCTAATACTGGTGAAAAGTGGCTCTGGGGTAGTTAGCCGGCAAAGGACAGTATCATAAAAGGGTTTTACAATACATCAGAGCAGTATCATAAAATGGTTTTACAATTGTGGCAGCAGCAATCGCATAGGGTTTATTGTGGGTGGGCCAGACTGTGAGGTGCTTTTCTGATAATCAAGCTACCTGCCACATCCTTCACACGGACGCTCATCTTCCTTGGTCATTATGCGTTTCTTAAGGAATCTAACTTGGTTGGCAGCTTGAAATCAATTTTTTCTGACTTGTATTCATGTCCCTGGTATACATAATGTGTCTGCTGATCACCTGTCTCATTTCCATTTCCAGGCATGGAAGCCCTACCTACAGCTGGCTTCCCCTGCCCTCTGTTCCAAGACATGACCATGGACTAAACAACCTGTTGGCTCACAGACACAATCTCATACAACTAGCACTTTCCGCAAACACCAAAAAATCTTATGACAGAGCATTTCATATTTTCAATAGATTCCTAGCAGATTATTACATTCGGGAAGGTTTTGCAATGGAATCTTTAATTGGTTTCACTTCCTTTTGCCACCTCAATTTAAAATTATCGCACACCACCATTAAATTCTACCTAACAGGTATTCAACACCACATGTTAAGCCAATTGCCAAACAAAAAAGGGTTCTTATCGTCCTATCAGATAAAACATTACTCAAAGGTATTCAGAAATCAAATGCCATATTACCAGCTTAGAGACTATCCATCCATAGTCAGTTTTTCCATTCACTCTCTGACTTGCTACATGAGGCACCGCTCGAACGTCTTACAAATATGGGTATTAAAATGGCCATATATATGGCATTCTATGGATTCTTATGGCCAAGAGTGTTCACCACCATTAATCTTATCATCACTGACTACCTCAAAAGGTATAATATCCAAAAATCCCAAGAGCACTACATCCTTTCAATTCCCCACACCAAAAGTAGCCAGATAGGATGCACTCTTGACATTCCTTACTACCCAACACATAACAAATGGTGCCCTTTAAAGGTGTTGGACAAATATTTGAACACTGCGCACAAACAAGCAAACCAACCACTGCTGGTATTACATGGATCATCACTACAAGGTTTATGCTTTATGTATGCACTTTGTTGATGAGATTTGGTCTTAACCCAGCTAGTTACACTGGTCACTCCTTCCGAATAGGTGCAGCATCCTCTGCCTCCTATAACAATATTCCAGTCCCCATAATCTAGTCCCCAAAGCACTTGGATGCTGGAAGTCTTCAGCTTATTCTGTATATATCCCTGAACCCGTGCCACGGACAAAAATTAAAGGGACACTATAGTCACCAGAACAACTACAGCTTATTAAATTTGTTATGGTGAGTAGAATCATTACCTTCAGGCTTTTTGCTGTGAACTCTGTCTTTTCAGAGAAAATGCAGTGTTTACATTACAGCCTAGTGATAACTTCACTGGCCACTCCTCAGATAGCTGTTAGAGATCCTTCCTGGGTCATAGCTGCCTAAAATGCATCCAAACATTCAGTATCTTCTCCCTCTGCATGCAGACACTGAACTTTCCTCATAGAGATTAAGTGATTCAATTAATCTCTGTGAGGAGATGCTGATTGGCCAGGGCTGTGTTTGAATCATGCTGGCTCTGTCCCTGATCTGCCTCCTTGTCAGTCTCAGCCAATCCTATGGGGAAGCATTGTGATTGGATCAGGCTACCACTTCTGATGATGTCAGCAGACTGCTTGTTTTTCTGAGTCTAACAGCACGCAGAGTTACAGCTTTAGGCTTGAATACAGTAAGAATTTTACTATATTTATGGAGGCATTAGGGGCCCAGGGGGCTAGATGGTGGTTTTAACACTATAGGGTCAGGAATACATGTTTGCCTACCGCATCATCTGTTCCGGCACACCACAACTACTTGTGCTATTTACTATTGTGTTACATCCATAACTGTCTTTAACTTCATTCATTACAGCAATGTTGCCCAAACACAAATATATACAGACCGGTGAGATAGCTCAGTGGGCTAATATAAATGCACTCTAAGGAAAAATATATTAGTAATTATTATAATATTTAGTAATAATGTGTTTCTTCTTTAGTGTGAGTTGTTTCATCATAGATATATGCATTGGATGAAAACTATTCTACTATAACAGTGAATTCGACAGAATACAGAAAGATACATACAAATAACTAGCAATATTGAAAGGAATGAGATAAGTTAGAGACAGTGGATGTAAATTGAAGATGTCATATAAAGGATGTCAAGGAGAGGATAAAACATTCAAACATTTATTTAAATAAAGAGCATTTGCTGAAAAACCATTAAGGAGACTTGTAAAGAAATAAAATAAACAGTGATTTTAAAAATGTTTAAAGTGACCCTATCAAGACAGGTTAAGATTAACATATACCAGTTCCTGAGGCAGTAAATAATATATCTATTGGCTTTGGAAGCTGTTAGTGTTACTTATAGGCTGCTTCACTCTCCATTGCTGCCATTCCTGAGTGGGTGTTACATTGTTTTAACATTCTCCAGTCCTCCACTGCCTTTCTCCCGGGAGTGACCCTGCATGTGTCATGTAGGACAATACTCCCTAATGACTCCAGGATGCTGACTTCCCCATGTTTGTGTCCTATACCCCCCATGAAGGTGTCAGAAATGTTTGGTGAGGGAGTAGCTCTGTGACCATCAAAAGAAGAATTGCCTGGGGGAGGGTTTTCCTGTTCTCACTCAGTCCTTTGCTTGAACCTGTATATTGGTGGCATAACATTGTAATGCAGATAATTAATTGAAAGGGAGGGGAGGGAACATATTTTTTATATATATATATATATATATATATATATATATATATTGGTTTGAAATGTCTGCTAGCATTTCTATTAGCACACTATATAGATTAGATTTATTTAAAAGTGGAACAGTTTCTTCGCTATCAATTACACCATTGAATACCATTTTGTACTTTGCATTGTGGATTTCTACATTTAATTTTATTTTTCAAACCTCACATGTGCATTTGGTTGAATGATTTGTGATCATTCTGTAACCACAAGATTTTCAATATGATAAAAACAAATTCAAGAACCCAGGTGTCCCGTTTAAGGGATCAACCATGATTGTGAAACACAGCTTCTATGTATCGAACAAATCATCCGTCACATTTTAGGTATCAATAAACTGACACATTCCTAAACTATGTACTAATCAACCACATCTTTATTTGAAAAATTATTCTTTTGAAGTACCTAGTGGGATAAGATAAGGATGTCAAGGATGTCATTTGAAGTGACAGATTTACTTTACAGTTTTAGTTTCCAGGGTTAATAGTTGAACTACCTCCTCCCCCAAAAAATACTTTAAGCAGACATTTTCCCTATTATGATAATGATAATAATTTTGCTAATGGTGTGCTGGCTAAGTGCGTTTGAAAAAGAGCTGATGGACATATCAAAGTAACCTTGAGTCCATGTAATTAAGCAGAAAATACCATATGTAATAAGCAAAACTAAAAAATTCAAAATCTGCAATGATTGTGTAGGATGATCCTTATTAAGAAGAAGAAGAAGAAGGAAAGGTCTGAAACTGAATAGTTACATTGTAAATTTACGTTGGAAAAAAAGACTCAAGCCCATCAAGTTCAATCCCTTTAAAAACACATATTTTTATGCTTATTTCTTGACTCTACCATGGTAATCAGATTTCTCCTAGGATCAACAATTCGTTTCCATGCAAGATGTTAGATATTCTGTTTTTCCAGTGTAATCTTAGTGAACCTGAACTTAATTTGATAGCATCAGCCACACATGTCTGCTGCATCTAAAAAACTTGACCAGATGTTAATGCAGTAAGTCGCCCGAGCTAAGACCTCGCACTAGAACTTTCAAATAAGTGACATCCAAAGCACCTTAAACACCTGAACGAGTTATTCAGAGCCTCATACCGTGAGTCCAAAATAGCAACCACTTTCCCCTTGGTGTACTTTAGAAAACACTTGAGGAAATAACAATAAGTTAGCTGGAAGATATATCAATAAAGAATGACTTTAAATTTTATAAAAAGAGCACAGATGAATGTACAGATTCTATACAGGTGACATAACTAAAATTCTAATATGTACATTAATATCTCTATGGTGCATCATTGAACTTATAATATAGGCAGTCTATTTTTATATTATACATTTCTTATTTCTTATTTTCTGCTTATCTTACAAACAATGTATTTCAGTATTGAATGTTTGTATTATGCTACAAGTAAATTAAATTTTTAGACAAACATATACAATCAAATATAAATTATGTGTAATAACAACATACACCACAGAGGGTTAGCTGAGTCAGTGGAGAACACCTCATTATATGAGTTTGTTACAGCGTATATCCATGTGCTGTACCAACTGCTGAAACCGGAGATCGGCTTTTGGATAGGGCACATTGATTGCCGCACACAAAGCAACTTCCATCTATGACACATAGGGATGTAATTGTTTGTGTTCATGTTTACACCATGAAGGAGAGAATCATGTGTGCGGCTAGAGAACCACCTGAGCTGCTGTCTTAGTGCCATCACATTCAATTGTATGTGAACCTGTCTCCAACTACCTTACATAGTTACATAGCTGAGAAGAGACTTGTGTCCATCAAGTTCAGCCTTCCTCACATTTGTTTTTTGCTGTTGGCTAGGGTCTGGCTAGGTAAAAGGGACTTTGGTCTGATTACTCAGGCTCTTAAAGAGGCTGGTATCATCTACAGGTGGGAGTTGCTTACCAACTAATAGCACAGAGAATTGGAGTGGTGATAAGTGGTCTGTGTTCACCACCTGCAGAATCTCTAAAGTGAAGGATGGAATGACCATAGTGTCCCAGTGGGATATTCCTGTACCTAATAAGGACTATCCACATCTGACTAGCAAGCAGGCACAAACGCTGAGGGTGAATGGAGAGTGACAACATGTGTACCTACTAGGAGATGTTGATCACCTGCTTTGGAATACTTCCTTTGATCAGAATATGGGGTTATGCTTCTTTAAAAAACAAGAAGTCTCCATATTTATTAACATCTCAGTGGACTTCCAACTCCATAAGAAATTATCAGATAAAGTTGGGAGATATTTAATACTTAATACAGTGCAATATAAACCAGAAGTCCTATACATTGGTAAACATTTATGGACTTTGTGAGAATCAGTTAACATTTTGGAAGGATTTACTGGCCAAGAAAGAGAGAAATATATGGGGAGCTCATCATAGGAGGAGATCATAATTTGACTTTAGATCACGTGTTAGACTCCACTGTTTGGGGACAAGGGATTATGCAGCCATGCGTGGCACCAGGACTTGTTATTATCTTACACTTTATATGATGTATGAAGAGCACAGCACCCGACATACAAATCTCTCGCATTCCATTCACATGTACACAATACATACACCTGTATAGACAGATTTTTTTTCTATCACCCGGCTCCTTACGAGGGGGTGGGTTCTCCACAGTGGATCAAATTACTGGTCCGATCACACCAGTTGTAATAAAATTATTAGAGTTATACTCCTGTCATTAGCACATGGAGACTCAACGAGTATTTATTGGAAGATGTATATGCAAGTTCTAAGGGATGCCTTCACTAGGGATATATTTATAATGCATGATTCATATATGAAAAAGATGAGTATGAAGCACCAACAGACACTTTCAGAACAGTTGGAACAGGTTAATGCTTTGAACAAGAGGAGACCATCACCAGCTTTTTTGGCTACAATAAACTCCAAAATCTTGAAAAATGCCCATTACGCCCAAACAAGTTTAATTTCAATGTACACTGCTCAAAAAAATAAAGGGAACACAAAAATAATGCATCCTAGATCTGAATTAATTAAATATTCTTCTGAAATACTTTGTTCTTTACATAGTTGAATGTGCTGACAACAAAATCACACAAAAATTAAAAAATGGAAATCAAATTTTTCAACCCATGGAGGTCTGGATTTGGAGTCACACTCAAAATTAAAGTGGAAAAATACACTACAGGCTGATCCAACATTGATGTAATGTCCGTAAAACAAGTCAAAATGGTGCATGTATGACCTCCCTACAACGCCTGTCCTGATCAGGTGGCGGATGGTCTCCTCCCAGACCTGGACTAAAGCATCTGCCAACTCCTGGACAGTCTGTGGTGCAACGTGACGTTGGTGGATGGAGCAAGACATGATGTCCCAGATGTGCTCAATTGGATTCAGGTCTGGGGAAATGGCGGGCCAGTTCATAGCATCAATGCCTTCGTCTTGCAGGAACTGCTGACACACTCCAGCCACATGAGGTCTAACATTGTCTTGCATTAGGAGGAACCAAGGGCCGACCGCACCAGCATATGGTCTCACAAGGGGTCTGAGGATCTCATCTCGGTACCTAATGGCAGTCTGGCTACCTCTGCCGAGCACATGGAGGGCTGTGCGGCCCTCCAAAGAAATGCCACCCCACACCATTACTGAACCACTGCCAAACCGGTCATGCTGGAGGATGTTGCAGGCAGCAGAACGTTCTCCACGGCACCTCCAGACTCTCTCACGTCTGTCACATGTGCTCAGTGTGCACCTGCTTTCATCTGTGAAGAGCACAGGGCACCAGTGGCGAATTTGCAAATCTTGGTGTTCTCTGGCAAATTATTAGAGTTATACTCCTGTCAGCACATGATTAGCACGAGTATTTATTGGAAGATGTAGATGCAGGTTCTACATCTTCCCTCATACTACCCTCATGGAGTCTGTTTCTGACCGTTTGAGCAGACACATGCACATTTGTGGCCCGAGGTAATTTTGCAGTGCTCTGGCAGTGCTCCTCCTGTTCCTCCTTGCACAAAGGCGGTGGTAGCGGTCCTGCTGCTTGGTTGTTGCCCTCCTATGGCATCCTCCACGTCTCCTGATGTACTGGCCTGTCTCCTGGTAGCGCCTCCATGCTCTGGACACTACGCTGACAGACACAGCAAACCTTCTTGCCACAGCTCGCATTGATGTGCCATCCTGGATGAGCTGCACTACCTGAGCCACTTGTGTGGGTTGTAGACTCCGTCTCATGATACCACTAGAGTGAAAGCACCGCCAGCATTCAAAAGTGACCAAAACATCAGCCAAGAAGCATAGGAACTGAGAAGTAGTATGTGTTCACCACCTGCAGAACCACTCCTTTATTGGGGGTGTCTTGCTAATTGCCTATAATTTCTACCTGTTGTCTATCCCATTTGCACAACAGCATGTGATTGTCACTCAGTGTTGCTTCCTAAGTGGACAGTTTGATTTCACAGAAGTGTGATTGACTTGGAGTTACATTGTGTTAAGTGTTCCCTTTATTTTTTTGA